GTTGAGTGTATATTTTGTTTTATAATGATGGTATTCCCCAAGTGTTTGGCATTTGAGGAAGTGTCTGAAGGGAAGATGGTGTGGTTCCTTCTTTGATGGTGCTGTATTCCATGGTTTGTAGTGAGAGTGAGGGCAGTAGTGTGGGTGCCCCCTGTTTCTTCTGGGCATCACTAGCTCCTGAGGCATTGCCTTCCTTCTCATGCCCAGGCTTCGGAATTTACTGCCCCCGCTTGGAAGATAACCTAGTACCTATATGTGTGCTTATATGTTGGTGGGGGAGGGTTGGATGAGTGGGCAATGGCACAGAGTTTTTCTGCTTGGCTTTTCTCATTGTGATTCTTCAGATAATGACCTTGTAGATTGTCTTCATTTCCTTCCTGCTGTGGGTCCTACTTTCTGCAGCAGAACCCTACCATTCAGAGCCAAGGACTGCAGGTTCTGTCTTCAGTCTGATCTTTGTGTTTCTTAGAGGTTTTCTCAATTATCAACTCTTGAGTTCTTTTTGTTTCAAGCTCAGCTATCCGTGTTGTATTTATTTATTTATTATGCGGACCTTTTCCATTTTCCTTAGGGATTTAGTTTGACGGGGGAGACTGTAACGTGTTAGCAGTCTGATATTTTTGAACTTGAAGTTCTGTTGTCTTTTTCAATTCATGACCTGCATTTGGTAAGGTAGACTTTTAATGGCAGTAGTGTAAGTAGCATGTAAGCATTAAGGAAGAAGAAAGCTGGTGACATTTTGGGCTGTTTTCATTCACATTACAGCCTGTATCATACATCATCAGCAATTTGTTGAATTGTATTAAGTTGAACTGGAAAACAGTATATTTTGGCATGGATGAGATGTTGCTTATAGTGAGGTCTTGTCTACGCACATCTGTATCTGCCTATTTTTTCTTTATTTAATCATTGTTTTTTCTGAAATTTATGTGTTTACCTATACTATTGCAAATTCAAACATCAAAATATTATATACAGTAAATTTACTAAGATATCAAATATTAACATTATGTTTTAGAAAACTAGAATTTTAGGGGAAAATGGTTAATTACGTTAGGAAAATATTACTTTTTCAGTCTTTATTTGATTATGGTGTTACTAGGACCAGGGACAGAGAAAGACGTAATGTAACAAAAATAAATTTAGAAAAATAATTTAATATATGTATAACTATATTTGCTCATATTCTTCTGCTTCCTTCTCTCTTCTCCTTCTCCTCCTCTCCTTCTTCTCTTCATCCTGTTCCTCCTTCTCCTCCTCCTCCTCGTTCTCCTTTTCCTTCTTCACTAGAGATTGAACCCAGGTTACACTGAGCTACATCCTCAGCTCTTCTGAATTTTTTAAAAATAGGGTCTTCCTAAGGTACCCACGCTGGCCTCGAACTTGCAATTCTTGCCTCATCTGAGCAGCTGGGATCATAGGCATGTGCTACCATGTCTGGCATTTTCTTTCACTAAAGATGTTTGTTTCTTGATCTTTCTCAAAATTTAATAATGCGACTTTTGTTTTTATGTATCTGTATTTTGGGTCATCATGAAGCCTTTTAAAAAAAATCGAGAAATGAACTGAACATACCTGTAATCCCAGCTATTCAAGAGGCTGAGGGAGTACTGCAAGTTCAAGGTCAGCCTGGACAACTTAATGAAGCCTGTCTAAAAAAACAAAAGACTGGGCATTTAGTTCAGTGGTAGAGTGTTTGCCCCAGCATGCATAAGGCTCTGAGTTCAATCCTTAGTATTGAAAAACAATTGAATATACTTCAGATAGCATACATAATATTTGCCACTTTAAAGTGTAGTGTAATTCAAGGTAGGCATGGTGGCATTCATGTGTAATTGCAGCACTTAGAAGGCTGAGGCAGAAGGATTGTGAATTTGAAGCCAGCCTGAGTTCTAGGCCAGCTTGGACTACATGGCAAAACCCTATCTAATAAACAAAACAATAACAAAACAAGGGGCCAGGGATTTAGCTCAGTGGTTCCAGTGCCTGCCCACAAGCACCAGATCTCGAGTTTGATCCCTGGTACCCAAAAAAAACCCCCAAAACCAAACAAACAATAACAAAACAAATAACAATAACAAAAAAGAAACAAAACAACCCCCCGGAAATGTACAATTCATTGGATTTTTTTAGGATATTCACAAATGCATGCAATCATTACCACTTTAAGTCCAAAACATTTTCTTCACTTCAAAGAAACTACATACCAATTAACAGTCACTTCCCATTTTCCCTTGTCCAGCTCCTGGCCACGACTTATCTCTTTTTCTCAATAGATTTGTCCTTTCTGGGTATTTCATGTAGATGGAATCATACAATATGGAATGTTTTGTGTCTGGCTTCTTTCACATAGTGTAATGCTTTCAGTGCTTGTCTGTGTTACATTGTGTATTAGCACCTCATTCCTTTTTATATCTGAATAATTTCTGTGTGGATAGACCACATTCTGCTTATCCATTCATCAGTTGATGGAGTTTTGTTTTTTCCCACATTTTTGGGTATTATAAGTAAATATTGATGTACAAACTTCTGCTTGGACACTTCCTTCTCAGGAATGGAATTGCTGAGTCATATGGTAGCTCTACATATAAGCTTTTGAGGAACTGCCTGCCAACTATTTTTCAAAATAAACCATTTTATATTTCCTCCACTAGTACATGAGGGTTACAATTTCTCTGTATCCTTACCAGCATTTGTTACTATCTGTCTTTTTTATTATGGCCATCCTAGTGGATGTGAAGTGGTATCTCATTGATTTTGATGTGAAGCATCTTTTCATATGCCCTTTTTTTGCGGGGGAGGGGGTTCTTACTATTGAGCTTCAGAGTTCTTTATATGTTCAGGTTGTTAGACCCTTATTGTAGATATAATTTGCAATATATAATTTGCTGTCTTTTAAAATTTTGATGAATTTAAAATTTCTTTTTAAGTTTTGATGAAGTCCAGTTTATGTCTTTTACTTCTGTGGGTGCTTTTGGTTTTGTTGTCATAAAGCTAAGAAACTACTGCCTAATTCAAAGATGCCAAGATTTATACTTATGTTTTCTCTTATGAGTTTTATAGTTTTAGCTCTTACTGTTATGTGTTTGGTGCATTTTGAGTTAATTTTTGTGTATGGTGTGAGGCAAGGGTCACCTTCATTCTTGTGCATGTGCATAACTAGGTGGTCCAGCACCCTTTGTTAAATGAGTCCTATTTTTAATAATTATTTTAGGTCCTTTATCTCATTTAACTATCATAACAGTTTTATGGGATGTTCATTATCATTACCAATTCCATTTTATGGGTTTTGAAACTTAGGTTTTAAAAGCTAAGTATCTTTTTCAAGGTCTGATAGCTGAAGCCCTAAGGTTTGGTAACCTCAGGGACCTCCCTAACACCCACTAGGCTACTCTCCCTTTGCTTCTATGAAATGTGCAAGCTTTTGGTCAAGCAGGAAGACTGCTTAAAAAGTAAGTGGCTGTCTTGGACTAAAGAGCTTTGTGAAACTAATACTACATGTTCCAAACAGTCTTGCAGTGTTCTGAAGTTTTGCACCAATTTCTACTCTTATCCAGTAATGGTCATCCCTCTAGCACTCTTGGCAGAGGATTTTAGGGATAAGGTTTTGTTACCAGGGAATAGAGTAGTGCTAACCTCTTGGACTTCCTGTGATGATAACAATGTTCTGTTATTGGTGTTGTGCAGTTAGGTTAGCCACTTGCCATTGTGACTATTGAGACTGGCAGGAGTTATGAAACCAAGGTACTAAATCATTTTTATTGTGGTAAAATATATACAGTAGTTTTAACTTTTTTTTTTGGAGACAGGGTCTTGCTGTGTAGCCTAGGCTGACCTTGAATTCACCAGTCTTTCTGTCTTCGCCTCCCAAGTGCTGGGGTACAGGCGTGTACCACCATACTCAGCTTTTATTTTAGCCTTTTTTGAGGGCACAAATTGGTGGCGCTGTGTAATCACATTGGTATACATTCATCACCTTCATCCACCTCTAAAACTGTTTCATATTCCCCCGTGGAAGCTCTTTATTCATTAAACAATAACTCCTCATTCCTTTCTCCTTCCAGGCCCTGGAAACTGCCATTCTATTTTCTGTGTCTCCATTTGACTACCTTAGGAACATCCTGTAAGAAGGATCGGAATTTCTAAATTTTTTTTTTGGTACTGGGGATTGAAACCAGGGTCATTTGCATGCTAGGCAAGCATGCTCTACAACTGAGCTATATTCCCAGCCCTTAAAAAATTTTGAGAGGATCTCTAAACTACAAAGGCTAGTCTTGAATATGAGATTCTCCTGTCTCAGCCTCCTGAGCAGGTAGGATTATAGGCATGTACCACTATACCTACCTCTGAATTTCTAATTTTAACCCATTTAATTTAATTTAGATAGGTATATGTGGTTAGTAATTACCTTTATGGGTGGTGTAGGCCAGAAGCCAGAGTGGGCCTATAAGAGGTTTGCCCCTCCCGAAATGTGCATCTACTTTCTGACTTAGTCTAAATCTGAGGCATCTAGTCCAGGCCCACTGTGTAGGCCTTTGTGGACTGTGAGAGCACTGGCCAGGAGAGGGGAACCGAGAGAGGTGTAGTTCAATATACAGGTGTTTCTGTAGCACATAGAGACTCTGATAATGATGTAGAAAAGGACATTGCTCCAGAATGCTAAACATTTTGCATTCTGCATTCTTCACCTGCATTCTTTCTACGGATAGTCTGCTCCAGGAAATCTTTGCTCTTCATATTCCGGAGTCCCTGGTTGGGATGTGGATTACACGTCTCTGCCCCTGTGAGATGGCAAAAGGTAGTGAAACAGCATTTTTCAGTGTTTTGCACTTCCCAGAGCTGTCCCCTGCACGTTCGGGCCGGTGGAGTTGTCATTCCCTGTATTTGGAAGAGGAGCGTCATCTGTGAGTCATAAATCATATTCGAGGTGGAAGTGAAACTCCTCTAATTAACCACTGTGAAAACAACTCACCCTCATTCTTGTTTTGTGGTTTCTCCAGTTCTGGACTTCAGCGATCCTTTCAGCTCTGAGGTGAAGCCGAGAATCCTGCTTATGGGTCTGAGGAGAAGTGGCAAGTCGTCTATTCAGAAAGTTGTCTTTCACAAAATGTCTCCCAACGAAACACTGTTCTTGGAGAGTACTAACAAGATATGCCGGGAAGATGTTTCCAACAGCTCCTTTGTAAATTTTCAGATTTGGGACTTCCCAGGACAGATCGACTTTTTTGACCCTACGTTTGACTATGAGATGATCTTCAGGGGAACAGGAGCACTAATATTTGTCATCGACTCCCAGGTACAGCTCACGAGTCTCAAGGGTTTGATGGCCCTGTAGCCCCAGGAGAGGCAGAAGCTCACCCTACTCATTTGTGATGGTTTCTGTTGGGTTTTTAAGTCTAGCACAGGCCTTTTTACCAGATAGGTTTCCTAGGGCCCTCAGACATTGCAAAGGAGGAAAGGTGTCCTCCATCCATCCCTGACCAAGAACCACCTGACCATGATGGAGCTGGATACACTTCCACAGGTCATAGACCTGGGAAACCTCACAGATGGTGGGGACTGTCCAGGTGAAGGACAAAAAATATGTGTCATCCCCTTATGGTCCCCTTGACAGACATCTCCAAAAGGTCTTTCCCAGTCATGTTTAAAACTTAACAGGCTAGGTGTGGTGGTGCAGGCCTGTAGTCCCAGCACTTGGGAGGCTGAGGCAAGAGGATCACCGTGAGTTTGAGGCCAGCCTGCACTACATAGTGAGTTCAAGACCATCCTGAACTACATAGTGAGCCCCTGTCTCAAAAAAAAACAACCCTGTAATTTAGAAAGATGAATTTTTCAAACATCTTATACACAGGTTCCCTGCAAAAAACATGTATACAAGTTTACATTTTAAAATGTTTACTATTTCCTATGAAGATAAAGGACTAAATGAAAATCTTACCTTTGTATCAAATAATAATTGTAACTAATATACAACTAAAATAACATAACTATTTTATGTATTTTATAAGTAACTATTAAAAAGTAAAATTGGTGATAAATATCTCTTAAAAAGATGGATAGCAGGGCGTGGTGGGACACACCTATTACAGCTACTCAGGAGGCTGAGCAGGGAGGATTGTGAGTTTGAGGCCAACCTGGGCAACTTAGCGAGACTTTATGTTAAATAAAAGGGAGAAGGATGTAGCTTGTAGTGGTAGAGCACTTGTATAGCATGTGCAAAGCCCTGGGTTCAATTCCAGTACTACAAAGAAAAAAGACTAAGATGGATAGTTGATGTTTTTCTGCTTAGTTTACATATCTGTTCTTGAATAAGACAAGATTTGGAGCAGTTCTTTTTGTGTTCTGCTTGAAGTAGCATTTGTTAGAGCATTTGTCCAATTATTTAAAATCTTTCCATGTTATATCCCCTACATTACCCAGGTTTCTATCATGAAACCTTACTTTCATAGTTTATAGATGTCCTGCTTAGGTACTCCTTCAGCTTTGTTGGAAACAAAGAAATAGGAATCCCTTGGCTAGTGGAGAGCCTTATTCCCCAGCCATTAGTCATTCTCTTTATCAGATTCACATTAGCTTTGCACTGGCTCTTTGACACCTTGGTGTTTTATACCTGGGGCCTTTCTCCAGTAACTGGGGAGGAGGGAAAGGGGGCAGCAGGATCACAGATGCATCTCAAACAGATTAGTTTCGGGGAGGGTACCTGTATCAGGATTGGGGTACTGGTGCTCTGCAAACACTCTTAGAAAATGACTGTGACTCATCCCAGACTGTAGGCTCTTTTAGGGTCTCCTTTGTAGTTGTCGGGGAATAAAAGGCAAGTCCTCCAGGTGTGTGCTAAACCAGCTCTGAAGTTAAAATCTTGATAGTTCCCTGAAACTGCACCTACAATTAGGTCCTCCAGCTACTGGCCTGTATGACCCCTGTCTGAACACCAGTCCCCTCTAGGGATGTTATGGAGATTCTTAATAATCATGGTCTTGAGCCCATACTTGGACAGCCATTCTCTGAGGAGACTGCTTGCTCATGCCTCAGAGGATTGGGATCTGGGTGCCTGTTTATATAACATACTAGTGAAATTTTCAGTGAAGCCATTTAGTTTCAAGAGGCTGCACTGTGTAGCTGTGGAAGCATGGCCATAGGTTAGAAGGGGTTCTCTCTTGCCTTTGTGGTGAGAGTGCAGATGGGGGACACATTAAATCCATTGCCTGATCCATGAACAGCATTTGTCTCTTCCCTGGGCCCACCCAGCAATGCATGTGTTGGGCATGCTGTAGACACCTGCATCTGTCCAGGGCCTGCTGTCAGCAGTTGCTTTCCTGGCTGTCCCACTTGTACTGACCTGTTTCTGGCCCATCTGTGGCCTTGGCAGTATCCCCTGCCTTTCCATCTCTGTATGCCAGCACCATAAATCCAGGAAGCTTGGAGCCTGCAGGGAGTGGACAGGGGTTGCACATACTCCAGGGAGGGCATGCTCTGCAGATGTCATCTCTTCTAAGCTCCATTTTCTCCCTGAGTCACTCAGCCCTGTTTCTATAGTTATTTAGGTAGCAAGTATAGTAGTCCTGCCCATGAGTAGATTGTAACCAGACGACTCACCATTTCAAGATAATGGCTTAGTAAATGCTAAAGTATTGTTGTGCTTGCATACCAATTTACATTTATGAAATTCAAATTTCCAGTGCAAATCTATTTTAGGTGTTTATAATATGGCTGTAATTTGGCTGAAATAGGTACATTTGCCTATTTTTTAGATTGCAACTGTAATTTGTTTTTGGTTTTACCTGAACATGAAAGAGGTCAGACCTTCCATCTGGGTTGGTAAATGTGTTTCCTGTTTTAGTTTTGTTCTTTTTTTCTTTTTCTTTTTTTTAAGCTGTAAAAGAGAGGAAGGTAAGAGAATTGAGAGATTTGTCTTTTTGTTACTTTTTAAAAATGACTAGGGCCGGGGGGATTTAGATTAGCTGTGCCTGCCTTGCAAGCACAAGGTCCTGAGTTTGATGCCCAGTACCAAAAAAAAACCACATGACTAGGAGGTTTGGGAATGTGGTTCAGCAGTACCGAACACTTGCTTAAAATGCAGAGGCCCTGGGTTCAATCCCTAGCACTGCAAAATGAAACAGAGTAGGAAAAACATTGTTGAGCACTGTTGTTTACTAAAGATAAGTAATAATGTAGAAAGCAGTTTCAGAGATATCTAATACTTTTCTGTTGAAACCAGACTGCAAAAATTATATTTGGAAGATTTACATGATGTGATTACAAGCACTAAAAGGAAAACCAGGTTTCAAGAAAGTGCCTCAGCAGCACATGGTGTCCTTTCCTTTATTTCTAAGCAGTGCTTTTTGCTCTGACACTTTGTTTTTATATTTTGCCTATGAATTCTTCACAATCACAGGACTGCTAGATAAATATGTCCCCAAGGAGAAAATGTGTCCTCACAGAATGTTGAGAAATAACGAAGAGTAAAAGCAAGAGTGATTTTGTGGGAGCTGAATGTGTGACACCCCTGCCGCTCTAAGAAGACCATGGAATGTATCACATTTCCTGAAACCATTGCATACAAACCTTTGGACCCCAGTGTCTCCACTTGACCTGTGTTCATGGTGACTGTAACCTGCTTATGATTCCTAGATCTAATTTCAGAGTAGAAACTAGGCAGTATATTTTTCCTTTATTTCTCTTTGTCATTGAAGGCAGTAACAGTCACAGTGGACAGAATCATCTCCAACCCCTCTGTTCTAATGAATGAAGCATTTTCTTTTTGTAGTGCTGGAGATCAAACCAGGGCCTCATGCATGCTAGGCAAGTGCTCTCCCAGTGAGCTACATTCCCATTGTGCTTTCTTCCTTCTAATGTCATTTTTAGGTGCTGTGTGTACATGCCTGTGTGTGTGCATGTGCATACCTTGGGGATTAAACCCAGAACCTTCACACTAAGCTACATATCAAGCACTTTTTTATTGCGAGTCAGGGACTTGCTCAGTTGGCCAGGCTGGACTCAAATTTGCAATCCTGCCTCAGTCTCTCAGAATACCTGGATTACAGGCATGTGTCACCATACCTGGCTTAGGCCTACATTTCTTTTGATTTAGTTTGGAGAACAGAAAGTAAAAAAATATGCCCTGTTATATCAGTTTCCTTTATTTTCCAGAGTTGGAGTCATAATCAGCTGGGGGGTGGGCCGAGGGTGGTGGTGGTGAAGTCCTTTAAATTTCTTATGACAGGTACCTTTCCTATTTTTGCTATAAAAACAAGGTCTCTCCACACTTTTTTTTTTTGGGTACTGGGGATCAAACTCGGGTCCTTGTGCTTGTGCAGCAGGTGGCGAAACCACTGAGCCAAATCCCTGGCCCCTCTCCACACTCTTTTTTTTTTTTTTTTTTTCCTCTCCACACTCTTTAAACTAGCAGTAACTCAGAGATCTAGCAACACCAGGTGTTGGTGAGAGTCTGGAGCATTAGGTGCTATATAACACTATCCAGTCACATTTAAGGTGCTCATAGCTAGGACAGACAAGCCCTCAGGTAAACTGTATGCACCTGAGATACACATTACCACTTTATAATACATGCTTGGAAACATTTGGAATGTCTGTTAGCAAGCAAATACGTGATACATGATAGATCATCCATAAAATGAAATTTCAGAGTCATTAAAAGGAATTATTAGAGTTATGCACTTCAACATAGGTAAATCTCCCTGACATAGTGTTGAACAAAAAAGGCATACATACAAACTTGATATGTATGTGAAATTTTAAACAATGTAAAAGAATATTATGTTGTTTGGGGATGTATATGTGTGGTGCAGAAAGATGAGGGCCAATAAGCACTAAACTCGGGTAGAGGTTTTCCCTGGAGGATGAGAATAGAGGGACAGGCTGGGTTGGGAGAAATACTTTTAACTTTGGTATCGATGGATACATAGGTGTTTATAGTATTGTATAAGTGTAGGAAGGTTTCCGCTTGTATTGTTTCAGGTAATTACTGTCCTACCCTGTGGGTCAGCACATTTTCTGTAACAGGCTAGATGGTGAAATATCTGAGGCTATGCTGTCTCTGAGGAGCTTCCACAGAGGAAAACTACTCAACTGTGCCATCATGGCATGAAAGCAGCCTTAGACAGTGTGCAAACAAATGAGCATGGCCGAGTTCCAGTATAACTTCCATACAAAATCCAGGCAGGGAACCGGGGATTTAGCTCAGTGGTTCTGCTGCCTGCCTTGCAAGCACAAGGTCCCAAGTTCGATCCCTGGTACCAAAAAAAACCCCCCAAAAAAAAAAACAATAGGCAGGGGCCCTGTGGACCATGGTTTGCTGACTTCTCCTCTGAGCTGGTGTTCTAAAGTTGTTCCCCTAGCTTCTTTCCCATCCTCCTAGTGACACCTCTCATGTCTCCATCTCTAATCAGTCACACAGTTTACCAAGAGACTCAGAAAGCTGGGAGGAACTGTCCTAGGTAGTATGAGGTCAGTTTCTCTTCCTGAAACTGCAACTCTGCTCTTAATGGCTATCATCAGCCTAAATTATGACTGCACTTTGTTAGCTTTCCCTTCTCTGTGTCAACAAAACAGGGTTTCAAACTTGACTTCTATAAAGCCAAGTTTTTGGAGGAGCATTTGCAAAATACTGTACTTGATGGTGGTGTTAGGGTTATAACCATGTGATCCCAGCAAAGAGGTTGTATGGAAGTCTCCTCTTACAGGTGTTGCTTTTGTTCCCAGGATGACTACATGGAAGCCCTGGCCAGGCTCCATCTTACAGTGACCAGGGCCTACAAGGTGAATACTGACATCAACTTCGAAGTGTTTATTCATAAAGTGGATGGTCTGTCAGATGACCACAAAATTGAAACCCAAAGAGACGTTCACCAGAGGGCAAATGATGATCTTGCAGATGCTGGATTAGAAAAAATTCACCTCAGGTAAGAACAGAAGTCACCTAGGGATCCTAGTAAAGGATAGAAAAAAAGCAGCTTGGGCCCTAGAGTTGCCTTGGTTGGCTTGGCATGGGTTCTAATTTACCTTGTTTTACCTGCTTGTGCTATGGACACTAGGATAGGATTTAGGAAAAACATCTAGTTTTGAACACTCTAATTCTAATCTTTGGTGAAAGGTTGTTTTTAACAAGTGGTCAAAACTAAGATTCTTCCCTCATATGAAAAGTATAAACAAAACCAAAAAAATCTAATCCATGAAGTTAATCAATGTTAAACTTTATAATTCTTGATAAATATGGTGGGCTCTATCACTGTAAATAAAGGCATAGTCTGAAATTTAGGTCAGCTAGAGATACAGGGAAAAACAATTTTTTTCATCATTCTTTGTGGGGTAGTGTATGCATCATTCATTTTGCAAATTGGCAAATGAAAACAGTTACATGCATCAATATTGATAATTTAACCAGACAGCTAATGACTTATGTGAAGATGGTCAGGTGTGGCTTCTCTCGAAGAATATGAAGATGGTGTGGACAGATATGGCCTTATTTTTAAGGATGCCAGTCAGCAGACAAGAATAGGCACAGTTCTGGCATCTTAGGGGATGAGGAGGGATGACTTAAAATCTATTTATTTTTTACGAAGTTTGTTGTGAATTCTGCAGGGGGCTAGTATGTGTGTTAAAACTGTAGTTATAGAAGGGAGATTCCTGGTGTTATGACATAGCCTAAGCAAACTGTTTCTCAGTCAAAGGGAAAACATAATGAAGACTTGTTTTCTCTTTTAGCTTTTATCTGACAAGCATATATGATCATTCAATATTTGAAGCTTTTAGCAAGGTGGTTCAGAAACTGATTCCACAACTCCCAACTCTAGAGAATTTGCTAAACATCTTTATCTCAGTAAGTAAATAATTTGCTCCTGTTAGAATCATTTGCAGGATTTGAGAATAACACTGTAAGAGTGAAAAAGATCTTATTTTTGCTTGCTTTTACAGCATTTCAAGGTCACATAAGGATTACTTTTGATGACTATTCCTACATGTTTTACCTTTAAAATTTAACTCTCAAAATGTGTACTTCACTAGTATAACTGAAGTGTTTATTCAAGTTGTAGGCAATCATCATTATTAATAGAACTCTACCAGAGTAAAGACCATACAATTTAGTTTTGCTGATGAACCATATACTTGAATAATTTTTTTTATGTTTAACCCTGTATGAATGATGCATTGAATGAGTTCCACAAACCACCAGCCTGAGAATAAGAAAATACTGTCCAGGTTCTTTATCTAAAATAAATAATGTGTGATAATTCTAGTTTTCATTTCTTCTGCAAGTCCATTATAAAGAAGTTTATGACAGTGAAGTTGAAATTGTAATAAAAATTGTACTAGTGGAGTTTATAATAACTTAATTTTGCTCATTCATATTTTACATGGAGAATACTGTAGTATATAATTTTATGTAAACACAACATGGTCTGAAATTGGCTATTGCCAATAACACCTTTTTTTTCAGAATTCTGGAATTGAAAAGGCATTTCTATTTGATGTGGTCAGTAAAATTTATATTGCAACTGATAGTACTCCAGTGGATATGCAAACCTATGAACTCTGCTGTGATATGATAGATGTGGTTATTGACATCTCTTGTATTTATGGGTAAGTAAAGCATTCTTTTTTTTTTTGTATTAAATTCTTTTATTGGTACATTGTAGGTATACAGCACAATTACATTTCTCATTGGGAATTGTACCTTTATATAATGCATCTT